CCCAGGCCTTCTTCCACCCGAAGGAAGCATCATACCACTAGACCAAACAGCCAACTGCATTACGGCCATCTTGGACTGTGATTGCCGTCGGCAACGATTTAGAGCTTTTAACGGCCTCATGGCCCGTGCACGTCCCCTACTCTGCTGTCTTCCTCATGCACCAGTTCAGGACCCGTCAACACGTTCTGTCCCATCCACGAAATGGCGGATTTGACTGGTGTTGTCCAGGCGGCTGGGTTATACGGCTCTTAATACCTTCTGTCCCCCTATTTCTCAACCACCACAAGCTCCCCACTACCCTCAGACTTTCAGTCCGTGACGGATGAACTACACCAAGTGTGCAATTGGTATCGGCAGGGATCGAACCTACAACTTTGTTGTTGTCCGCCCCACGCTCTCCCGACCGAAACCACGACAACGCTGCGAACATCGAAAGTACCCATAATGTGTGTCTGCTTGAAATCGAATCCGGTTCGCCTCGATGGCAACGGAGCATTCTGTCACAAACACTAAGGATCTAACCTAAGGGAGATTGTGAGGTAAGGATTAACACCCTAGTGACAATGCTGTCCATGAGTCACCAAGTCGCAGGGCCCAGAAGGCTAATAGACACGGATATACAACAATTCGCAGACACTTTAGCTCAGTCGGTAGAGCGCAAGACTCCTAATCTTGCAGACGCAGGTTCGAGTCCCGCATGCGGTAATACCAGGTCCCAGTTGATGCAACCCGTGGGGTTGGTTCGGATAATCTTAGGTTGACAGAACCCGTCAAGTGAAAGCCGTGAATCCCTGCCGTCTGCATAGCCCAAGGGCAAGATTGGAGCGTTCCAAGCTGCAAATACTGGCCGATTCCCGGTTGATGCACCTCGTAGGGGCGATAGCCGTGAATACCAGGGATAGTTCAAGGGCAAGGTAATATTGGGCTTGCTGTCAATTTCGGGGAACCTGCCACGTTGTTAACGGGCTGTTAACCCGGTGACTGTCGGACCTGATACGCTCGGGAGTTTTTGGCAGAAGTGGGACTCGAACGACCGTACTCCGGGTCGCCGCAGATATTGTGGTCGGCGGCTCACTCACTGGGGCGGCACTGAAATACAACGACGGCTGGGTTTACGGGTAGTCACCTCGCGAGCAACATA